TATTAAAGCACACATATAAGACAGTTCTACATGAGAATCATTTGTACCTGTATTTTATGGTTTTTCTATCTCTTCCCTTGGAACTGATTTGTCAATGTACCTTTTAATTTACTGATGGCAAACTGGCAAAGGTTTGAGAACAAACTAATTTTATTAGGTTTGGATATAAAACACCCAACAAATTAACCCGAAGTAAGCCTATGGGTTTCTTCCTTTAGGAAAATTCCCCAGCCTTTGACTGGACCACTCAGAGGCCCTCTCCTCCACCCTGTTTCAAAGTTTCTTATCTGACCCTTGATTTTATCCTGGAGAATTGAATCAACAAGAACTAAGCACTACATTTGACTGTCCTTTATGACTGGATTACTGCATTCTGTTGATTTCTTATTTTGTGGTTGGCTTTATTCCTTTGATAACTATGTAAATTTAAAAAGCTGAAGCTCTATTCTTAGAAACAATGATCAGTACATATATATGTAAATTTTTTTTTTTCCTTTAACGGAGGTATTGGGGATTGAACCCAGGACCTTGTGCATGCTAAGCATGTGCTCTACCACTGAGCTATACCCTCCCCACCAGTGTTTTCTTTCAACAGACCACAAACTAGGAGTTCAGGAAAAGAAGATGAAGCATACAGCTGACTTTCAGCAAAACATTGGATAAAGTCTGCATAGTTCGGTCCAACTTACGTTGTTGAGTGTCTACTGTGGGCTGGACATTCTGCCAGTTATTGGAGATGCAAGCATGACTAGTACCTGGTTCCTAAAATTTAGATTTAAGTTTAGACCTATGAACAGAGAGCATCAATATGATACGAAGGAAGAATGCGAAGGCTGCACTGGGAACCTGGACAACAGACAAAGAGGCACCTAGCTCAGCTCAGTGGGGGGGTTACAGGAAAGCTTTCTAGTCTTGAATATTGATGACACTGTCTGTAGCACCAACAGCACCAAAGCTGCAAATCCTCCCTCCAGTGTGGGGTTACTTTTGGCACTTTGCATTTGAAGTTCTATCATCCCAGATAAGTTTTCCCTTCTATTCAGCTCCATCTGCCTGGAGATTTTCCCCCAGATTCTGGTATTAGAGTATCAGTCAGCATTCATTTCCATATTTGTATTTTCCTGAATCTCCTTGGATATTTTAATGCAAAACCTAGGGAGCCGTAATTAGAGATTGTGTCCAATTGCTATGAGGATGACAGTGCTTCCAAGGACTAGGATCTCTGAGTGGGTGTTTCCTTTATGCTTTTAAATGTGGTGTCAACACAGTGTACATAAGAGAATCTCACAAAAAAACAAAACAGGGTGATTTTCAATATTTTCACTATCAATGACCCCTTCTATTTTTTCTCTTTCACAAACCAGGCTTTAAGAGATATCTTATAAATAAATTATTTTTAGTTAATAAAAATTAATTTGAGCCATGCTATTGCCAAGTAGAGTTTCTGATTAGCAGAAAATATCTGGTTGGAATTTATATAATTTAGCTAAAACATGCAGTCATAATAAGCACTCAGCGCTTTTCTTGCATCAGATCAGGTAAGCCTCACAACCATCATATGAGGTAGCTATCTGTGTCATCACTATTTCACCGATGAGGAAACCGAGGTTCAGAGAGGTTGAGTATACGGGACAAGTTTTCACAGCTAGTGAGTTGTGGTGTTGCATTGAGTTTCAGGCAGTCTGGCTCCAGACTCTAGACTCCTAAACTTTTATAACACAGTGTTGACGCTTGAATCAGACCATGTGGTAACCTGAGTGTAAATGAATGATTTCCGTTGGACTTCCTGAAGCAGGGAAAATAGCACGCAGGCACCCATTGCTCCCTTGGGGGACACTTAAGCAGAAGCTGCTGCTCTCAAATTTAGATACTGATTGGAGCCTTGCGTTGAGTGGACAGTGCATACTCCACCTCACCCTCAGAAAACCCAAAGGATGTTAAGATACGTTCCTAAGAGGGTAGCTGGTAATACACAGAACCCAGGGCAGCCTTCCCCAGTGTGCTCAGAACCTAACCAGAGTTTCATTTTTAAAAAACCGAGCTTATTTAAAAGTGGAACACCTCACCCAATCGTCTATTAACCTGCAAATATGTATTTAGGGACATTTGAAGTTGTTCTGTTTACCTAATCATCACTAATGGCTACTTTGGATCTATGACAGCTGGAAGTGTAAACACGGCTCTTAGACCTTTCTCCAGGTATGACACTGGCCCAACAGACCATAACAGCTTCTTAACAGAACAGGATTTCCTTGAAGCAAAATCTGAGTATCAAACAGAGCTCAGAGCATTTTAGGAGTTTCTTGGTAGGTCATTTTTGAACTGCTCTCCGCAGAGCTAAATGTCAAAATTCACCAGGAAATTTGGGCACCGCTGAGATCTGAACATCAATCAACCTGAAAGCTAAACATTGACTTTTTTGTTTTAAATGAGAACCAGGTCAGCACGATTCTTCATGAGCAATAAATAGATAATAAGCCAGAAGATGTAATTTAAAAAGAGTTTGTGCAGCCAAACCAAATACTCTAGGTAGCAAAGTTATGCTAGTACTGATTACTAAGTAGTAACATAGAAATTGCTGATCTTATCCAGAGAGAACACAGACCTTATTCCAACATATGAGAGCATATTGAGAAATGATTAACTTGGCTGGTGAAACTCACCTCTTACACACTCCTGTGCAACCTGACATTATCCAAAGGATCTCCTGTGCCTGCGGGGATAAAGCCCAGCTGACAAGGCCCTGCTCAGATCCTGTATGAGCTGGATATCTGTTTTAACAAAACACCACAAACTGGGTGGCTTAAAAAAAAAGCAGCAGAAATGTTTTCGCTCACGGTTCTGGGGTCAGAAGTCTAGAATGAAGGAGCAGGGCTGTGCTCCCTGTGAGATCTGCAGGGAAGGACCCCTCCTGGCCTCTTTTACCTCCTGGTGTTCCATAAAGCCTTGGCCTTCCTTGGTGTGTAGCTGCACCTCTCTGATCTCTGCCTCTGTCGACACATGGCCTTCCCTCCTCATGTGTGTGTGTGAGTGCGTGTGCGTGTGTGTCTGTGTCTGTGTCTGTGTGTCTCTGTGTGTGTGTTCACATGGCCTTTGTCTCCCTCTGCCCTTCTTACAAGGACACCAGTCACGTTGGGTCAGGGCCCCATCCTGATCGACTACCAGCTCATCTTAACGAATTACATGTGCCAGGACCCCATTTCCAAATAAGGTCACATGCGAGGTCTCGGGGATTGGGGCTTCCGCATATCTTTTGGGAGACACAATACAGCCCATAATAGCTCTCTCATGTCTTCCATGAAACCTTCCTGCGTCGCCCTCTGCTCTATGTTTGTACAGCTTGCTGGTCTGTGGCGACTCACTCGTACCTGTGACTCACTGGGTGTCATCTCGCAGGATCAGCTCTTGCTATATGCCCTATGCCTTGTCTCCCTAATTTTACTGTAAACTCTTTGGTTGATGAATAATTCTTAAACTTATTTCTACTAAGCACTTGACACAGTGATTTGATATCAGGAGTACCTTCTCTTAGAGCAACTTTATACTTCTCAAAATGTGTTCCCCAACATGATCTGACATGGTTTTTTCAGCATCCCCGTGCGGTGGGTTGGGTCGCTGGCATTATCTTAATTTTATACCCAAGGGAATAAAGACTCCGAGAGGTGAAGTTTGACATGTGACTTGGGCTGGTTCCAGCTGCTTTTGTTGAAAAGTATTTCCTCCCTCCCCTCCTTCCTTATAACCTGATTATTAATGAGTCAAGAGTCTCTCTGGGGAGAAAAAAAGCCCTCCTTACTCTGAAGGCAAAGTGAGCGAGAGGAGAGAGAGGGGAACGTGTGGATGAAACCAAAGTCTGCCTTTTCCACTGGCACAGGCAGTGGGGAGAAAATCACTAACCCAACCAAACCTCCTTCTGTTTATTCGATCAGTTCTCACCCTTTTTCTCCAGCATTCATAATGTAAAATGTCAACTTTTCTTAAACTTTTTTATTTTAAATATGTTTTTATTGAAGTCTAGTCAGTTTACAATGTTGTGTCAATTTCTGATGTTCAGCACAATACTTCAGTCATATAGGAACATGCATATATTCATTTTTATCTTCTTTTTCACCCTAAGTTACTATAAGATATTGAATATGGTTCCCTTAAACTTCTGACCCCACCCCCTACTCTTTCAGTCTAAGAAGATAGTTGCTCCCCCACTATTTTTTGTTTTAATAGAAAGTAGCCGGTGGAAACTCTTCGACATCTTTCCACCTACCCTGCATGTGGCTAGAAGCGGGGAGGGGTGGAGAGAGGAGGTGGGTGTGAGCAGGAACAGGAGGCAGTGACTTCCCGACCCAGGGCCAGCGGGCAGGGGTGCAGCCGAGCTGCCACGCGCAGAAGTCCTGCGGGTCCCCAGTCTCCAGACCCAGGGGGCCGTGAGGGAGGGCGGCAGCCCCCTCTGAGCAGGAAGAGGGCAGACTGGAGGAGCCCCGGTCTGGGTGGGGCGCTCATACTGTGAAAGCCCGCTGTGGACACCTGTGTCCATTGTCCGCCTCTCCTCCCTGGGACTCACAAAAGAGAGCTTGGAGAAACGTAATCAGCTTAGAGAAGACAAAAGAGGTCCTCTCTGGTGGGAGGGAGAGGGGAGAGGAGGAGGAGAGAGAGAGAGAGAGAGAGACAGAGAGAGAACAGAAAGACAGAGATAAAGAGAAAATTCTAAGTAGAAAAACGTAGCAGATTTCTCGGAGAGGCGGTACGCTCCTAGTTAAAATGTGAGACGCTCGCTATGCCAGGCAGGCGCGTAGTAACTAGGCTTTTTGCTCTGAATTCCCTCCTTGCTACTTTTGACTCAAAACTTTCTGTTCTTCTAGCTGGGCATCAGCCAGCAGTAACCAGCGAAGTGATTTAATTTAAAAGAGGAGAGAAAGAGATTGAGAAAGAAATTGTAGCAATGATGGAATAATTTCAGCTGAAAGGCACGGCAAGTTTCAACTGACACAAGAAGAGTGCAAATAAAATCTGGGGGCAGGCTCCTTGGGACCAGGTGACGGGTTGAGTGGGTGGCTGAGGCCCCTCGAGGAAGGATAAAACCCTAAATCAGAATACAAGTCAAAAGCAAGATTTCATGCAGCGTGATTCTTTCCGCCCTGCACACCACCGTCTTGTGTGTGTCACAGAGCACACACAACACACACGCATGCCAGGCTTCTCCAGCACTCCCAGACCCGGGGTGGAGCTAGAATCTGAGGACTGGAGCTCTGAGAAGGATCAGGGCACGGGCACCTCCACTGCTCTGGGTGGGATATAATCCCAGGACCCCCACTCATGAGTGAACAGAGAGCCCTGAAAAAAAATGTGCCCAAATCTTAAGGATTCCAGGAGACTTAGAACTCTAAAAGTAATGAGGGATTCAGACCATGGGTCCTCGTGTTGTGCTACTGTGATAAAAGAGATCAGAGATAATAAAAGTTGTTAGTCTGGAAAAGCCAGTAAAGGGCTGGCACCCAGGGGGCCTAAGAACAACCTCCACTTTTTCTCTGAGCAAAGCACTTTCCTGGGTGTCTGTTTCTCCTTCTGAAAGTGAAATGTGTTCTCCTGGGCTTCTAGGTTAATGCTTCTCAGACTGTAATGAGCATGCGCATCACTTGGGATATTGATAATGGGAAGGTTCTGATTGAGTAGTTCTGGGACAGGTCTTGAGACTCTGCATGTATGATAAGATCCCAGGTGGCCAGTAGTCTATACGATGCCTTAGCCTGAATCAGAAAAAGGTGCTCTCCTCCGAGCAGCCCTGCAAGTGCCTTTGCAAAGAGAATCCTTTCCCCACATGGTTTGGCTAGTGATAGATAAGCTGGATTTCAGCCCCTGCACTCCTTTGGACTGTGCCTTGAGCAGTGCACAAGCTGCCCAACCGTACAGGGCAGTCCTGACCTCGTAGGCAGCTGTTTTCTGGACTATTGCTAAGACCGATCCATCAGAGATGTTCTGTTCCTCTCTCTTACCTCAATGGCACAATTCAGCAAGCCCATCAGGTCACACTTTCTAATTTTCATAGTTGTATAGAAATACCTGTTTTCTTCAGAGACTGCCAAAATGACACACAGGACTGAACTGATTCCTTCTCTACTTAAGGAAGAGAATTTGGTCCCAGGTTCCTCACCCTCCAGTGCACCCTAACTCAGCCTAGAGCTCTAGGTAGGGGCTGTATTGTTGCTGCCAGAGACCTGGCATTTGAAGTTTTATACATCACATAATTTATTAATCCAGGATCTAAACAATTAAGCTCCTGTGCCTGGTCTCAGTACGTGATTACTATCTGGTTTCCTCAAATCTTTTGTTTCTCATCAAATATTACTCTTCCTTTATAGAGAATCAGGCATAAAGGCAAAGAGCCAAGGGCCTGAAGTTTCACTAAGCTCCCTGTTTACCTTGGATGGCCGGATCCGGTGCAGTGCTCCAAAAAGTTTTCCTAGCCACACCTCTGCCCAGGCTGCCTTGTTCTGTACTAGTATTGGGGAGAAATCCAAAATATTTGGCCAAATTTTTTTCTTTATAGAAGCTTAAGGTCAAGGTGGGGAGCGCAATGGAGCCAGTTGGGAGAGGCAAGAGCTTACAGCAAAAGTAAGCTTGGCTGTGTCCGGCATTCTTCGAAGCGTTTGGTGCTGGCCACTCATATGTCTCCTGAAAAGAAACTTTCGGCCAAGGACAGAAAATTCTGGTTTCTCTAAGTAGCAGATAAAAGGTGCAACAAAGTAGAATAAAGAGATCCCTGGGCTAGTGATCTGGGGGTTTCGTTTCTGCTACCCAAGGCTGCTGCTTTGTACAACGGAGCAACAGAACTACGTAATGTGGAAGATTCCTTCTAGTTTTCAAACTATAAGAATCTATGAGATGTAATGGCTTCACCTTATATATTTTTTTCTTAGTGTTAAGCTAAATTTATAAAGTTTTAAAAAAGCCCTGCAAGCTAAGAGAATCGAATTAATTTGGTAAATACAATACTGTGTTTTAGTTCAGAAATAATGAGTTGTGGGCTTCGACAAGTTTTAATTCCATTGCCCGTCAATTGAGATGTTGGATTCTTATCAATAATAAAAGACCAACAACAACAACTCAGTGGAAAAACAGGAGAGGATGTAAACAGACTGCTCACAGAAGGGAAGACACAAGTGGCTCTTAAACACACGAAGAGATGTTCACCCTCCTTCATCACAAGATAAGTGCAAAATAAAACTACTCCGAATGATCACATATCACCTGTAAGATGAGCAAAGATTGTCTAACCTAAATCATCTACCAGTCATGGGCTGTTTAAATAAATGATGGTACATCCACTGTATGAAATAATATATAGTTGTAAACAAATCAAACAAAGCTTCTGTCTGTACTGACACGGGAAATTTCCCGATATATAAAACATTTTTAAAAATGGAAGTACAGTCAGTTACAACGTGTCTGTCTCTGGTGTACAGCACAATGGCCCAGCCATGCATATACATACATATATTTGTTTTCATATCCCAATTATCTTTTACACAGGATCAGAAAGCAGGGTGCAGAATGGTCCTTCCAGCACGTCACCGTTTGGTGTGTAGCAGCAGTTAGCGTGGGTTTCTCCTTCAGTTAAATGAGTCTGTTTTCTCTGTGGGCTTCTTGCTCTGTGATGTGTCAGCTATCAGGCTTCCCTTCAGGGTGTCCAGACGCAACGTGGGCAAATGAAGGAAGTGGTGTTCATAGTATTTAAGGCGCTGGTGTGTTGGACGGTGTGTACTGTTTCCGCCGTGTCTGCTGTGTGGTAAAGACTAAAGCCTCGTTCAACACAAATCTGCTGCTCCCTTAGTCTCTCGCACCCATACCTAGAAGCCCCCGATAGAGGTGTGTATTGTACTGTGTTTATCTATTTATTTAGGTGGAGGTACATGGGGATTGACCCCAGGACCTGGTGCATGCTCAGCACACGGTCTCCCTCTGAGTTACACCCCTCACCCCCAGTTGC